AGTATTACTCATAGTGACCCTACGAACGACAGACCTGAGCCCTGTTCCATCCCCTGCTATCCTCATACTTCCTGACACACGAGAGCCCATTGCAGCAGTCACTGTGTCAGTCCACCTGGTTGAAAGTATTCCTCTCTTTCACTGCCCGGCCATCTTTCCAAGGAATAAACTTTCCTAGCAACATCCCCAAAGTATGTGAAATGAAGCTTTATCATCTTTGCCTCAAAGGAGCACTCTGGCTCCACCTTCTCCAAGACGTATTTGTTCTTTCTTTTGGCAGTCCATGGGATGTTCAGTACTATTCTCCAACATCACAGCTCAAAGCCATCGATTCTTCTCTTCTTCCTTGAATAAGTAATCTTTATTCATTGTCCATGACTCAGATGCATATCAAGTGATCAGAAAAGCCATGATCGGAATCTGCTGCACCTTAGTCTGCAAACTGACATCACTGCTCCTCAATAATTTGACGAGGTCCCTGACTGCAGGCTTTCCCAGTGCAATACCTCTCCTGATTTCCTACCTGCTGGTCCCAACTGTGTTGATTGTGGGTTGGGATAGTCACTGAGAAATTGGTGATTCAAATCTACCAGCTATTCTGCAAGAGAGAGATGGACAGGTTCCCTTCTAGAAAGATTTACAGCCTTGAAAACCCAGTGAAGGGTCAGTTCAAGCAGGTATTGACTCAATATTAGTGAGCATAAAGTAGATTAGTTAATACAACTGTTGAGATATATGAACCAATCATTAATGCCAGAGAGGAAGACATTGAACATTTCTAGTAACTTCTGTAATCTAAAATTATGCAACCATGCAATAAAACTACATTCACAATAACTGGCAATTGGGATGCAAAAGTTGAAAACAGAAAAGGGGAATTAGCAGTTGAAAACAAGGTCTTACAGGTAGAATTTATGCCACAGGTCAGGTGGTAGAATTATGCACAACTAATGACCAAGGAGGATAGAAGGAGAATTGATGCCTTTGAGCTGTGGTGCTGGAGAAGGGTATTGAGAATACCATGGACTGCTAGGAAAACAAACAGATTTGTCCTGGAAAGGGTTAAACCGGGTGGCTCCTTGGAGGCAAGGATTCTGAGGCTCCATCTAACATACTTTGGACATGTTGTGAGGAGAGACCGGTCCTTGGAGAAGGACATCATGCTTGGGAGGGTGGAGGGACAGCGCAGGAGGGGAAGGCCCTCTATGAGGTGGATTGATTCGGTGACTGGGAGTGTCAGAGACAGTGTGACTGGCACAGGACAGAGTGGAGTTTAGGGCTGTTGTACACAGGGTCGCTATGAGTCGCAAGCGACTCGACAGCACATAACAACAACAACAACAACAACAATGACTTATTTATTCCAAATTCTTTCTTTAAAAAAAAACCTTGCCAGATGGAACCCAGGGCTATCAAACTGACATCGTCTTTGGAAAATGACAGTGGAGCAGCTCAGTATCAGCAGTAAATATAAATAACGGGCTGACTGTGGAATAGTTAATCAACTGCTCACATGCAAATTCAAATTGAAGCTGAAGAAAATGAAAACAAGTCCATAAGAACCAAAATACAACCTTGACTATATCCCACCTGAATCACTAATGTCTCAAGAATAGATCTGATGCACTGAACACTTATGATAGAAGACCAGGCGAGCTGTGGGATGACATCAAAAACATCGTTCACCAAGAAAGAAAAAAGGTCACTAGCGAGACAGAGGAGACTAAAACAGATGCCAGAAAAGACTCTTACCACTGATAATGGAACGTCGAGAAGCTCAAGCGAATGGAATGTAAGGAATGAAATAAGAAAGCCGAACAAGAGATTTCAAAGGGTGGCTTGAGAAGACAAAGCCAAGTCTTAGAATGGAATGTGCAAAGATCTGGAATTAGAAAGCCAAAAAGAAGAAAACACTCAGCATTTGTTAAGCTGAAAGAAGTGATGCAAAAAATTCCAACCTTGAGCTTTTGAAGGAAAACAAGATGGTGTGACTCTTGCTCATATGAAGGTATGAATTCAGGGGAGGTCAAGAGCCCATTTGGGGATTATTCCCTTTGTAGTTCTAATAGCTTTCTAGTCTTAACAACTGAAACTTTAATTAGAGGGATTTGTCAAGTGCTCTGACGCTGTGTCAAGTGCAAATAAATATACAAGATCCGCTTTGCTCCTCCTCTGAGCTGGCCCAGGAGGTGACTCAGGTGCAGTATGAGAACCCAGCCCAGGGTGACCCTGCTGGGAGGCAGAGACACTCTCTGAGGCCTGGCCCTAGATGCAGGCTGCCCTGGGTTCAAGCCTTCATTATAAATAGAGGACAGTGATGTTTGCCTCAATAGCACTGGGTGGGATGATGACAAAAACATGCCAGGCCAAAAGTGACATGTGCCATGACATACATGTGGGTTCCTGTCCACTCAGCCTCCCAGCATGCCCCCCCACTACTCCTGTAACCCCATTAGAGCCCTTCTGGAAATTGTTTTGTTGTTATGTGCCGTCAAGTCACCTGCATAGCAGGTCACCCATAGCAACCCATAGCTCTGAACTCTGCTCTGTCCTGAGCTAGTCTCACTGACTCTGACACACCAACCCCCATTGCTCCAATTACTGTGTCAATCCATCTCATCCGGGGTCTTCCTCTTCTGCAGTGTCCCTCCACCCTTCCAATCATGATGTCCTTCTCCAAGGACTAGTCCCTCCTGGCCACATGCCCAAAGTATATGAGATGGATCTTCAAAATCCTGGCCCCTAAGAACAAACTGGGGAGGGGGGTGGGCAGGGAGAAAAATGCAACAATGAATGAATGGAAATACAAAATCTCTGTAAATGTTCATTAAAATTAATAAAATAAAAATCCTGGCCCCCAAGGAGAAACTTGGTTTCACCATCTCCAAGATAAATCTGCTTGTTTTCTTGGCAATCCGTGGTATGTTCAAGACTCTTCTCCAGCAGCACAACTTGAAGGCATCGATTCTTCTGCCATCCTTAGTCATTGTCCACCTCTCTGAAGCATAACAAGTAACTGCAAAGACCTGAATCAGGCACACCTTAGTCTCTAGACTGACACTACTTTTCAGCATTCTGGAGAGGTCCCTGACAGCATATTTTCCCCAGTGCAATTCATCTTTTGATTTCTTGACTGCTGGTGTTAAAGAGTATTGATAGTGGAGTCGAACAAGCTGTAATTGTTAACAACCTCAGTCTCTTCTCCATCCATCATGGTGTGGCCAATTTGTCCAGTGGAGAGAATCTTTAGAAAAGACTATTTTGTCTTTTCTGAGTTTTTAAATGGCCATTTACTTTCTTCCTGTGCCATATCCTTGGTTATTAATGTTCAAGGTATCAAATCAATTCTTGATGGGATAAACTCAAGGTCATATGTTGGTTCTTGTGGACTTAATTTACTAAGTCTTTTAAGTTTACCAAGATTTCAGCTTCGTCTTGCAAATGAACAATTAATCATGATTTCAACTGTGGGCCCCCAGCTTTGTTCTCACTGAAGATATTAAGCTTCTCCACCATCTCTTTCCAAGATATAGTGAAATAGATTCCTGTGTATCCCATCTGGCAAGGTCCATATGTATAGTTAGTATTTAATGTACAAGTCACACAAGAAGGCTGCAGAGTTAGTGAATAGATCAAAAAAGCTTGGTTCTCAAAGGCAGTCTTATGACTATGGCATGTTCTGTGGCATCCCCCTGTCTCAGTTAACACATCTGAAGTGTTGTTGTGTACCATCAAGCTAGAACTGATCCTCCGGCAGGTTTTTAGAGGCAGTTAATTGCTTGGAGGAGATTGCCCATCCTGCTCTCGCAGGGTGGTGGATTCGAACCTTGTGCCTTAGGGATTGCAGCGCAGCTTCTTGCCACTAGGCCACCAGAGCTTCCTCATCTGTAGTGTAATGGAATGGTAATTGTGTCTACCTAGAAGTGTTATTGTGAGCATCAGAATGTGAGAAGCCTCTACCTGGCCTGGGTCCACTGGTCAATGACCTGAGAATTCTCCCCGCCTCCCTGACCACATCCATTCCCCTTGCCCTCTACCACTCCTGCTCCAGCCTGCCATTTGCTGTTTGATCTTGACCACGTGATTCTTCCTCTCTGAGCTCCTCTCCTTTCTTACATGAGATAACAACAGTCTCTAGCTCCTTGAGTTTGGGTGAGATGAACTGAGATGATGTAGGGTACCGAACCAGTGCTCATGAGCAGTTGCCATGAGGAAATTGTTTTGATGTTAGGTGCCGTCAAGTCTCCCTTGCACACGTGTGTGCACACACAGGTACATACATAGCATAAACACTCAGAGTGCATGCACAAACACTGTATACACGGCACACACATACCACATTCACAGGACACAGATAAAATATACCATGCACACACACCCCCCATATACAACGCACACACACTTAGGCATTCACACATCACATATGAACACACATACAGAGCACACCCACATGACCACATACACATCACACATACAAAGAACACACACACCTCACACCCAGTTTATTTAAACCCCACGTTCCCCTCACATGCTCAGTTCTGGGATCGTAATAGCTCACTTGAGCTTGGGCCACTCAGGGTGTGGCAGCCACAGCTCAAACCCAAGCCACACCATTGGGGTCCATCTCTCACACACACTCACAGGGTCTCCCACGGTGCCACCTCGGGGTCCACCAGCCCAGGGTCCCACCAGTCACGACCACTGAGGATGATTAAGAAAAACACATCAAACTGCTTTACTTCTGAGGCCTCCCCTTTGAGGGGAGGCAGGAAATAGAACATTTGCTTGGGGGAAGGTTTAATTAAAAAACAAAAGAAAGAAAAACAAGTACAGTTAGTCAAATACTGGTCTCGGTTAGGCCCGCTCTGGGTGCCCGGCTGCGTTCCCATGTCACCGCAGGGTGGGGCTGGGGCACCAGGAGGGGAGGCACTGGAGCTAGTGCCAGTGGACCCCCCACCCAGCCCCTCCTCTTCCTCCCCTTCTGCCGACAGAGGCTGGGTGTCACCACCGCAGGAAGTCCCGGATGAGCTTCCAGAGCTTGGTGACCCAGAGGTTGACCCCGAGGTCCATCAGGTACTGGATCTCGGGCGTGAGCATGCGGCGGCAGAGCTGCGCGTGGCGCCGCCCGATGCTCTTCTTGAGGTTGTAGCCCAGGATGGACTTGGCGCCCAGCGGCTGCCAGGGCTGCATGGCCTCGTCCTGGATGGCGGCGGCGTCCACCGCGCGGCCACCGTCGATGCAGATGCGGCGCATGCGCTCGTTGGCGCGCCGCAGCGCGGCCACCTCGCGGGCCATGCGCTCGCGCCCGAAGGCGTCCACGCGGCGCCAGAAGCTGGCGTTGAAGTGGCGGTAGAGGCGCGCGTCCAGCATGTTCCAGGCGGTGGCGCGCCGGTACAGCTCGCCCGAGAGGCGCGGCACGGCCGAGGCGCGGCGCGCGTTCAGCTTGAAGTAGAGCACGTCCTCCAGCTCCCAGCACAGCAGCTCCTTGAGCAGCACCAGCGACTCGTCGAAGTACTCCTGCAGCAGCACCAGGTGGAAGCGGCGCTCCACCTCCAGGATGTGCTCCTGCACGCGCGGGCTGCCCGGGTCCAGGCCGCTGTCGTAGCCCAGGTCGAAGAAGAGCAGGTTGCGGAGGTAGTGCGCGTTGAAGCCGTTGGGGTCGTAGTAGCGGCTGGGGTCCTGCAGGAACTCGGCCAGCTTGTCGCTGCTCGACAGCTTCCACGTGAGCGGCACCACGGGCCCGAAGTAGTGGAAGGAGGACTCGAAGAGGCGGGCGGGGTCGCGCAGCACGGTGATGAAGGTGGCGTTGGGCGCCACCAGCCCGCGCACCTCCTCGTAGTGGAAGCGCATGTGGTTGCAGATGATGTTGAAGCAGGCGCCCGGCCGGTAGTCCTGCACCAGGCTGCGGGCGAAGAAGGCCGGGTAGTCAAAGTCGTTGCGCCCGTTGGGGAAGGCGAATTTGAGCCCGTGCTTCTGGCCGAAGCGGAAGAGGATGTTGAGCAGCGTGCTGCTGGCCGTCTTGTGCGTCTTCATGAACACGATGTCCCGCCGCGGCTGGCACTGGCCTCTAGAGCCGTTGGCCGTAGTCGCCGCCTCGGGGGCCTCCAGGGCTGGGGAGCAGGGCTCTGCGGTCTCCGGGGTCCTTTGGAAGGGAGGAAGAAATCAGTAAAGGAGCCTTAGGGGGACCCCTGCCCTAATATATAGAGATGGAGGGGTCAGCTGGTGGCAGGGCAGCTGGGGTGGAACATGGCTATGGGGTCTTGGGTGGGAGATTTGGTCTCTTTGGCCTCATTTTCCACATCTGGGAAATGGGGGCACCAGCAAGCTGTACTCGTGGTGTTGGCTTGAGTACCAACCGAAATGAGGGCCTCCAATCAAGACAGCTAGTCCAACATTTATCATGAGAACGTCACATAAAATTGCCCATTTTTAGGGGGAGGGAAGTAATGGTCAATTATTGAGTTTCCTGCAGTTCAACTTAGTGTCAATAACTAAATGTGGCTTTCCCCCCCCCTTTGCTGAAGGCCTCCTTTGTGAGTAGTAAGTTGACTCGATAGACTCCCCCCATGCCAGCTGTGTGACTTCAGACAAGTCACTGTCCAGTTTCCCCATCTCTGCTGGAGCCCAGTACATAGGCTGTGTTGATTCTCTACTCCTACACCCATTTCACAGATGAGGGGACTGAGGCTCAGGTTGGTGGACAGTGAGGCCTGAGTTTGCGCAGTGAGGTCTGCCCACTGTGGAACTATGCCTGGCACAGCCTACCATAGTGCAGGCCACAGAGTGGCATTGCAGGAAGTAGCAAAGATCCCTGGGGTGACTGGGTAAGGCAGCAGCCCCCTTCTCCACCCTACTTCTCCCCACCCGGGATCACTCACGTGGAGGCCAGGTTGGGGTGCAATGGGGGCACGGCATAGGAGTATAGCAGCAGCAGGAAGCTGGTGAAGAGGGCCCCCAATAGCAGCCCCTTGGCCATGGACTCCCAGTGTTTCTTCTGAGGTGGCATCTCAGCACCTAGTGGGACAGGACAGAGCAGTGTGAGGCTCTCTGACATACAGCAAGTAATTGCAAAGACCATGGCCTGTATCAGGCGCACATGAGTCTCCAGGCATCATTGCTCTTCAATCCTCTATGCCTGTTATTGGTAGTTCTTGAACGTTAGATGATTTTTTTCCCATGGGGTCAAACGATACCCAAGTATACGCTTTTGAATGGAAACAAAGGGGGCAGAAAGCATGGATTGGCAGTTTTTCCATTTTCATTTGTGTGTTAATTTCTTACATAAATGTGGGGATATAAAGCATTACTGCAACTCAGAGAAAACATTTATGTGAACAAGTTTCAGCAATTCAACTTTGTAACAATTATAAATAAACCTGTTAAATTTTTCTGGACAATGCCAGAATTTGGATTTTTAAAAAACAAGTAAATTTCTTATTGATGGCAACTAAATAGTGTTTATAGCATTTTTTATCATACAGTAGATCCATCCATTCACTATACTTTTCTGAGTTGTCCTACATGCAAGTACGTTTTTAATGTTGTCTGTCTTCTGTGCTATTCTGTAATTAAAAGATATTAAACTAGAAAAATAAAGAGGAAAACCCCTCCTCCAGTGTTGATAGCAGTGTTCTCTATAGGGAGAGCGCAGCCTAGGCAATCCCTTACACCCCACCTGTCCTCCGTGCCACCTTCCAGCTGCCCAGGGAAGCCAGGCTCCCTTCCTTTCTGGCCAAAGAGGAAGGTAGAGAGACTGAGACACAAAAGGGCATAGTGAGAGCTTGACTTACACAGGCCCCTGTACCACCCACCGCTTCCTCTTCCCTACCCATTGTTGTTCTGTGCCATTGAGTTGTCTGCGACTCATAGCGACCCTATGTACAACAGCCCTAAACCCTGCTCTGTCCTGCGCCAATCTCACTGTCTCCGAAACACCCATCCCGATTATCCCAGTCACTGAATCAATCCCTCCACCCTCCCAAGCATGATGTTCCTCTCCAAGGACTGGTCCCTTCTTGCAACATGTCCAAAGTATGTCAGACGAAGCCTCAGAATCCTTGCCTCCAAGAAGCAGACTGATTTAACCCTCTCCAGGATGAATCTGTTTGTTTTCTTAGCAGTCCATGGTATATTCAATACTTTTCTCCAGCACCACAGCTCAAAGGCATCAATTCTCCTTCTATCCTCCTTAGTCATTGTCCAGCTCTCTGATGCATAACAAGTGATTGCAAAACCATGGCCTGTATTGGGCGCACCTTAGTCTCCAGAGTGATACCATTGCTCTTGAGTACTTTAGAGAGGTTCCTAACAGCAGACTTTCCCGTTGCAATACAATACGTCTTTTAATTTTCTGGCTGCTGGTGCCAAGAGTGTTGACTGTGGAGCCATGCAAACTAATCTAAATCTCTTCACCGTACATCCTGATGCTACCGATTGGTCCAGTGGTGAGAATCTTTGTCTTCTTGATATTGAGCCTCAATTCATATTGAAGGCTGCAGTCCTTGGCCCTCTGCAGCAAGCGCTTTAGGTCCTTCTCACTTTCAGCAAGCAGGGTTGTGTCATCTGCATAACGCAGATGGAGCTTCCATCAATCCTGATGCCACACCTCTCCTCATAGAGCCCAACCTCCCGGATAATTTGTTCTGCATATAGCTTGAAAAGGTATGGAAATAGGACACATCCCTGGCATACACCCTTCCCAGTTTTGAACCATACAGTGTTTCCTAGTTCTGTTCTGACGACTCCCTCCTGGTCCAAATATAGGTTTCGCATTAGCATGATCAAGTGTTCTGGGATTGCCATTCTTCTCAGAGTCAGCCACAGTTTGTTATGATCCACACAGTCAAACGCCTTTGCATAATCAATGACACACAGATAGACATTCCTCTGGTATTCCCTGCTTTCAACTAAGATCCATCTAATATTAGCCACAATATCCCTAGTACCACGACCCCTTCTAAACCCAGCCTGGACTTCTGGCAGTTCTCTACTGATGTGCTATTGTTGTTGTTGTTGTTGTTGTTATGGGCGGTCGAGTCACTTGCGACTCATAGCAACCTGTGAACAATCTCAATCTCTTTACCATCCATCCTGATGCTACCAATTGGTCCAGTGCTATTAGTATTTTATTAGTATTTAAAAAAACAACAAGAGAGTCACCCGTGGTGAACACGCTCTAGTGAATTCTAGTGTAAGACCAGGAAACAGGACTGGCCATCCACTTCTGAAATAGCAGGCCTTCAAAATATCTATGGACAACAGAAGGACGTTGTTGGATAGAGTTGGAAGAGGAGCCATTTGGGTTGGACAGCCCTCAAAATTCACCCAGGCAACAGCTGCCTTCTCAAAGTAGGAGATAAGGACACAGATGAGGTAAAGCTTTCACCCAGTGAAGGACCTTCATTTGTTGATGTCACAAAACTCAAAGGAAGGAGAAACAGCTGCAAACATCTGATAATAATTGGAATGTATGAACTATCACTCTTGAAAAATCGGAAGTCGTCAAAATGGAAATAGAAGTCATAAAGATCAGTATCGTAAATGCTAGAGGAAATTGACTGCTATTGGTCATTTTGAATCAGATAATCAAGATCTACTATGTGGAGAATGACTAACTGAAGAGGAATGGTATCACATTCATCATCAAAAAGAACATTTAGAGCTCTGTCATCAAATGTGATACTGTCAGTGATATTATAACACCATATGCATACAAAAAACCTGTTAATATGACTCTTGTTCAGCTATGCACACTAACCATGAAAGCCAAAGATGAAGCAATTGAGGATTTCTGCCAACTTCTAGAGTCTGAAATTAATTGTGCAAGCAATCAAGATGCATTAATAACTGGTGTCCAGGAGGCACAAGTTGGAAACAAAAAAAGACTGGTAGTTGGAAAACAGGGCCTTGGTGACTGAAATAAAGCCTGAGATAGTGTAGTATGCTTTTGTACAATCAATGATGCAGATACTTTAAAAAAAATATGGTGACTATATACATGAACTTCACCTGACAGAAGAATCAGATGAGGGAGAAAACTGTTTAAAAGGAATATATGATTAGGTCTTATTGTCATGACAGGAGTCCAGAATGAAGGAAGGCTGCATAGTGGAGTGCACTTGAGGGGAGGGATTGTATAACAATGAATTTTTCTATTACTTTTTGAAGAGAAGAGCGAACCGGGGCAGGGGGAAGGTTGGGCAGGGAGAAAAGTGCAACAATGGATGACTAGAAATCCAAAGTTTCTGTAAACTTTCATTAAAATTAATATTTTTTAAAAAAAGAATACACAAGAATCAAACTGACTGTATCTGTGGGAAGCGATAGTGAAACAGCTCAATAGTCAGAATAGGGCTGAGGGCTGACTGCTGAGCACACTATCAATTGCTCCTATGCAAGTTCAAACTGAAGCTGAAAAAAATGCAAATAAGTCCATGACAGTCAAAATACAACCTTAGGTTTACCCCACCTGCATATGGAAACCGTCTCAGGAATAGATCTTCAAAACAGATACTTTGAACACTAACTACTGAAGATCAAACGAGCTGCAGGATGGTATCAAGGATGGCATCCCCGATGAATCCAAAAGGTCACTAAAAAGACCAGGAGGAAAGAGAAGATCAAAACGGATGTGGGCAGAGACTTTGAAACTTACTCTGGAGAAGCTAACGAAAAAGGAAGAAGGAAGCTATTTTCATGAAATGGACAAACCTCCAAAGTTAGAACAAACAAACAAAAAAAGGCAACAGTACACTAGAAGAACTGAAGAAAAAAAAACATCAAAGTAAAAGAACTGCAGGGGAAAAACCCTCTGAAGCTTTGAGATGTAATGCTGAAGGATTCTAGGGACAAAATCTTGAAGGCTGCAGGAAGCTTCAAAAGAAGATGGAAGGTTTGAATCCACCAGATGCTCTGCTGGAGAAGGAGGGGCAATCGCCTCCTGGGCTGGTCAGATCTGACTCAATGGTACAACAAGGGGCGGGGAGTGGGGGAGAAGAAGATGAAAGGAATAACTAGAGTCACTGCAGCAAAAAGAATTGGTCGACACTGATCAAGAACTGCTGATAGAAGAAATCAAAACTGCACTGTAGGCTGGGGGGGGGGGCGTGCAAAGCCTCCAGGAGTTGACAGAATACCAGCTGAGGTGCTTTAGCAAATAGATGAATCCCTGGACATGTTCACTTGATGCCAAGAAATTTGAAAGATAGCTACCTGGCCAACCTACTGGCAGAGAACCATATTTGTGCCTGTTGTTTTTGGTTTTGTTTTTAATGTGATCCAACAGAACAACGGCATTAATAGAACAAATAAGTAAAATTTTGCTGAAGATCATTCAAAAAGGACTGGAGCAGTACATTTATAGAGAAATTCAAGCTGGATTGAGAATGACTGCTGATGTCAGATGGATCTTGACTAAAAGAGAGTACCAGGAAGATGTGTGCTTGTGTTTTACTGACTGTATAAAGGCAGAAAACTGTGTAGACCATAATAAATTATGGGTAACATCAAGAAGAATGTGTGCTTGTGTTTTACTGACTGTATAAAGGCAGAAAACTGTGTAGACCATAATAAATTATGGGTAACATTAAGAAGAATGGGAATTCCAGAACACTTAATTGTGTTCATGAGGAAACTATATCTGAACCAAGAAGCAGTTCAAACAGAACAAAGAAATACTATAGGATTTAAAATTAAGATAAGTGTGTGTCAGTGCTGTATCCTCTCACTGGGCCTATTCAATATGCATGCTGAGCGAATAATTAGAAAAGAAGGGTTATCCTAAGGTGAAAGTGGAGCTAGAATTGGAGGAAGATTCATCCACAACCTGTGTGACGGATGACACAACCTTACCTGGAAAAAGGGAAGAGAACACAAAGTACTTAAAAAGATCAAAGACCATGTCCCCAAGTATGGACTATATGCTTCAATATGTTGTTGTTGTGTACCATTAAGTTGGAACCTGCCCATAGCTGACCCTCCAGGAGGTTTTCAGAGGCAGTTAATTGCATGG